TTAAGCACACACCAGATAACCACATAATGACTAGTAAAAAGAATGTTTGAGCTGTTCAAGCTGATTATTGCCAAATAAGGCACAGTTAGCTGACCAAATTTGGTCAAATAATTTAAGACTTCTACTCCTGTGCCTTGTAAAGTACAGCATGCACTGTTCGTTTTCTCAGGAACAGCTCTGGTATGGATGCATTGTGGCTGCAGTTTTCAGTATAACCGTGTTACAGTATGCATTAGGGATTTTCATAGCTGCTAACTGGAAAAAAAAAAAAAAAAAAAAAAAATACACACACAATCTATTGCCAAAAGTATTGGGACACCTGCCTTCACACGCACGTGTACTTTAATGGCATCCCAGTCTTAGTCTATAGGATTCAATATTGAGTTGGCCCACCCTTTGCAGCTATAACAGCTTCAACTCTTCTGGGAAGGCTCTATACACCCTGTTCCAAATTATTATGCAAATTATATTTTTCTCATTTACCTAAATAATTGATGTAAATAACAGCATAATTCTCAGGTTATCAACTATTAAGAGTACAATTCAAATTTTATTTTGGGAATGTAATCATTCATTAAGAAGGCACTTATGTCAGATGAGAAGGCCTGGCTCGCAGTCTCTGCTCGAATTCATCCCAAAGGTGTTTTATTGGGTTGAGGTCAGTTCCTCCACCCCAAACTCGCTCATCCATGTCTTTATGGACCTTTCTTTGTGCACTGGTGCGCAGTCATGTTGGAACAGGAAGGTGCCATCCCCAAACTGTTACCACAAAGTTGGGAGCATGAGTTCCCTTCAGTAGAACTACGAGGCCATGCGCAAACCCTGAATAACAACCCCACACCATGATCTCCCCTCCACCAAACTTTACACTTGGTACAATGCAGTCAGGCAAGTACCGTTCTCCTGGCAACTGCCAAACCCAGGCATGTCCATCGGATTGCCAGACAGAGAAGTGTGATTCGTTACTCCAGAGAACATGTCTCCACTGCTCTAGCGTCCAGTGGCGGCGTGCTTTACACCACTGCATCCGATGCTTTGCATTGCACTTGGTGATGTAAGGCTTGGATGCAGCTGCTCAGCCATGGAAACCCATTCCATGAAGCTCTCTACGCATTGTTGTGCTAATCTGAAGGCCACACTAAGTTTGGAGGTCTTTAGCTATTGACTTTGCAGACAGCGATTGCTGCGAACTGTGCACTTCAGCATGCGCTGTCCCCGCTCTGGCATTTTATGTGGCCTACCACTTCGTGGCTGAGTTGCTGTTCCCAGTTGCTTCCACTTTGTTATAATACCACTAACAGTTGACTGTGGAATATTTAGTAGCAAGGAAATTTCATGGATGAACTTATTGCACAGGTGACAACCTATCACTTTACCACGATTGAATTCACTGAGCTCCTGAGAGCGACCCATTTCACAAATGTTTGTAGAACCAGACTGCATGCCTACTGTAGGTGCTTGATTTTATACACCTGTGGCCATAGAGGTGAGTGGAACACCTGAATCCAATGATTTGGAGGGGTGTCCCAATACTTTTGGCAATATTGTGTATATGGCCAGCTTAATGGGTAACTCTGCTTTAATGGGGAAAATGTAGCAAACTAGTATTAAAAAACAAACTAGTATTCAAAAACAAAACAATAGTACCCCTGTGCAAATTTAAATATAAATCTCTAAAAATGTGCTAAACCATGTATATCCAACAATGCCACATGTAGTGCAGCTCACGCTAGTGTGCAACAACACAGTGAAACCATAATTGAATAAAATTTGTGCAGCGCTAGATAATCATTCAATTGTACACAACCAAATGCATACAATTCCTTTTGTGTATCAACCTCCAAATATGGGGAAGGAAAAAAAAAAACATTTTTGCAAATGGCAATATTTCTTTGTGCCAATGGAAATATTGGTGCAGTGCAATCCAGAAAGCAACAACACATAATCTCACATTACAAATTTAAAAAGTGAATGCATACATAATTGTGACTGAAAAATGACTAAGAAATAGTACCAATTGGCTCCAATCAGGGTTTAGGCACCAAAGCCTCAGTGCTGAAAAATAGTTTATATGTACTTTGTTAGATCACATGCAAAAACATGCCAAATATTTTCTATTCATAAAAACATATAACGCAAAAAGTCCACATCTAAAAAAGTGTGAATAATATTCAAGCAGAGATCCGTTCTTCATATTGAAACCTCCATCACTGTGATTCAAAATGCGTATCATGCGCCTCCATTTGTGAGAAACATTCCATGTTTTTCAGTGTATTGGTCGAAAATAGTGTTATCAGCATTTTGGGGAAAAAAGGTGCCAATAATGGCCACTGAAAACAAGATTTTACTTGGGATATTGCTGCAATGTCACCTGATATTTTGCCGTGATTTTACATTCTTTTTTCATAGATTTTTTTTTTTTTTTCTTTGGCCAACTTGTTGCTGGGCAGATTAAAAACGCAAAACATTTTTGCTGTGTTTTCAATGCATTTCAGGCCTAGTTCACACCAAAGCAGTTTGCATTTTGTCTGCAGTGCATTTTTGTGTGTTTGCATGCATGTTTTTGACGCTTTTTTTTTTTTTTTTTTTTTTTTTGCTGCTTTTTTACTTTTTTTCCTTCCTATTTTTCTAACAGCCGCTGCTGCTTGTAGCAACAAACTGTAGGTACTCCCATTAGCAGCAACTATAGACACCATCTCACTCCTAGTAAACACGACAGTGATTTTCAACTATGTCAGCAAAAAAAACGCAAAAAAGCACAGCAAAACGGACAAAATGCGTTAGTTTTTGATGCGTTTTTAATATGCCCAGCTTGCTGCAAGGACACAATTTCTACTTGGCCAATGAAGAGAAAAAAAACAAAAAACAAAACTGTGTACACCTGGCTTTAGTCCAGACTGAGCGCTCTTTGTCAGCTTGGTCTTTGTGCTGGAAACGTGTCTACAATCAGTACATATCTGCTGCCCAGTGTCGCATATGTGCAGCTTGTGGGCTTTTTATGCTGATGCATGTATGTGTTGGGCAGTCGTAAGGGGGTAAACCTTAAAGCAAAAATGTAATATTAGGCAGGTTATAAAAATCCTCATGTGGTGGCTGCTTTAGTTTTTGTGTTTTTAAGGCTTTTTTCAACTTTTATTTCACCTGGTGATCCAGCAAGTAACATGCTTCCTGTTTTAGGATGTCTGCCTCCTTAATGAAGTGGTAACGCAGACACTTTTGGACAGCAGTATTGGCAGCCTGGGGAGGATAGTGTTAAGCTGACTACAGGTGGATTGCAATTTGGCTGGCTCAGCAGGGACCGGCCAAATTCTGATCAATGTATGGCCATCCCAGTTCGACAGAAGTCTTATCGTTTAAAACGACTTCTGTCGGAAAATGTTTGACCAATGTATTCTGACAGTGAACAAACCCCACTGTCAAAATATAATGTACCAGCGAGGAGGATTCCTATATCCACCTTGCCTGTGTGGATGGAGGAATCTATTTGTTTTTTTGTTTTTGTTTTTTTTTTTTTTCGATTGGCCCGCTGCCTGATATAGTCATCTATGGCTGGCTTTAGACTAGCCTGTTTAGATGGACTTGACTAACAAATTGAATCTGGACTCCAGCTAACACTTTATAGGGTTTTTTTTTTTCCCTTTTCAGATAAATGTTTTACTTAAATGAGTAAGACTTACCATTGTTAGCACCCCTATCAGTATTAAATGGTTTGTCTCAATATAACTGCTACTTTTTGTTTAGACATTTTGTTCTTTTAAAGTGGATCTTCAGTCTTCCTCCTTAAGTGGACCCACCCCCCAGGGCACCGCTGTTATGGTCCGTGCGCAATTGCACCCATGGGCTGTATGTCCTCTATTAGCAGCCTGTGCCCATGCGCAGATGTTCATCTGCACACGTGCAGGGGTGGTGACAATGATTTGCCTAGGCAAGGGGGCAGAAGTGCAGCACAAATAAAGTCCTTTTAATAATAGGGGGAGGAGGCAGGGGAGGACAACTTCACAGTTAGGGTAAAGGTCCTTTTTAACCAAGCTCTTGACCTACAGACGGTTTTACCCCTTCATGACCGGAACAGTTTTTTGATTCCGCACTGCACTACTTTAACTGGCAATTGCTCAGTCATGCAACACTGTACACAAATGAAGCGTGTATAATTTTTTTCCCCCACACAAATAGATCTATCTTTTTGGTTGTATTTGATCACCACCAGGCTTTTTATTATAAATAAAACAATTTTGAGAAATTATATTTTCTACTTTTTTGTTATAAAACCTATCCAATAAAATTATCACTTCATATAATTTCTAAATAAATTTAGGCCAAATTGTATTCTGCTACATGTCTTTGGTTAATAAAATCCAAATAAGCATGTATTGGTTTGAAAGATACACCATCGTTTGTAGATGCTATAAATGTAGCGGTACTGTTAAGATTTCTGCGACCTTCTCCAGAGCAAACTGTTTTGGTAGATTTTGGGGTTCATGATCAGGCCTATAACCTGAAGTAATTCATTCCTGCCTACACTTGTGGGGTGCTTCTAATGCATGCTACCCCTTTAGTAACATTGACTTTTTGTTGGTTTGAACTTGTGCTCTCTGAGAAGTCAGACAACAGTTTGACTGGCTTGCATACATTCTGTACATCTTGCCTAGCGAGATGTTGTTGGGACAGGCAACCTCTTTAGTCCTCTTTTTGTCCCCTATATTGTAGCCTAGATGATCCGAGGTGCAGGGCCATGAGCCATCCAATTTAAGAAATGGTAAGCTGCGATAAGACATTTTTGGTTTTGGGCTTAATACTGCTTTAAAGCCTCATTACAGTTCTGCAGTGATATGTTAAAATGGCTTCTGAAAATATTTTCATTACATTTGAGATATCTTTTAGTGGTTTTTAATTTGTATGTGCGTACAAATTGCTGTAGAATCTACTTGCACTTGAACCTGTGAGAAAATTCAGTGGTGGGTTTGTACTTTTTTTTGGTTTAATACGTTACAATTCTTTTTCAGGCTTGCATCGATGATAATCTTGAGATGGTCAAATTTCTTGTTGAAAATGGAGCCAGTATTAATCAACCAGACAACGAAGGTTGGATACCACTACATGCTGCTTCTTCCTGTGGATATGTTGACATAGCTGAGTGAGTCTTCTATTTTTGCATTTTTCATTTGAGTAAAAGTTTGAATATGTTTATTACTATGTTAATTTTTTACTCCTAGAAAGTTATTCACAAAGGTTGAATATCCCTTCCTAAATGAATCTGGGGCCCTTTGACCTAGTTCAGGCACTAGTGTGGTATGGAGTGATAGAATTAATTGTGCACTGTGTTGGAAGATGGGATATTTTCTCTCAAAAGGAGTTACCGTATTTTCCGGCGTATAAGACGACTGGGCGTATAAGACGACCTCCTACTTTTCCTGTTAAAATATAGGGTTTGAGCTATACTCGCCGTATAAGACTACCCCTCTTCCAAGGCACACCAAATAAAAATGAAAAAACATCAGATTTGATTTCAATATGGTATGGTATTTCAGTATATGGTTTTCCAATGATGGGGCGCTATTCCTCCCACTGACACCAATGATGGGGCACTATTCCTCCCACTGACACCAATGATGGGGCACTATTCCTCCCACTGACACCAATGATGGGGCACTATTCCTCCCACTGACACCAATGATGGGGCACTATTCCTCCCACTGACACCAATGATGGGGCACTATTCCTCCCACTGACACCAATGATGGGGCACTATTCCTCCCACTGACACCAATGATGGGGCACTATTCCTCCCACTGACACCAATGATGGGGCACTATTCCTCCCACTGACACCAATGATGGGGCACTATTCCTCCCACTGACACCAATGATGGGGCACTATTCCTCCCACTGACACCAATGATGGGGCACTATTCCTCCCACTGACACCAATGATGGTGCCCCATCATTAGTGTCAGTGTGTGAGGAATAGTGCCCCATCATTGGTGTCAGTGGGAGGATAGTGCCCCATCATTGGTGTCAGTGGGAGGAATAGTGTCCCATCATTGGTGTCAGTGGGAGGAATAGTGCCCCATCATTGGTGTCAGTGGGAGGAATAGTGCTCCATCATTGGTGTCAGTGGGAGGAATAGTGCCCCATCATTAGTCAGTGGGAGGAATAGTGTCCCATCATTGGTGTCAGTGGGAGGAATAGTGTCCCATCATTGGTGTCAGTGGGAGGAATAGCGCTCCATCGTTGGTATCAGTGGGAGGAATAGCACCCCATCATTGGTGTCAGTGGGAGGAATAGTGTCCCATCATTGGTGTCAGTGGGAGGAATAGCGCTCCATCGTTGGTATCAGTGGGAGGAATAGCACCCCATCATTGGTATCAGTGGGAGGAATAACGCCCCATCATTGGTGTCAGTGGGAGGAATAGCGCCCCATCGTTGGTGTCAGTGGGAGGAATTGCGCCCCATCGTTGGTGTCAGTGGGGAGAATAGTGCCCCATCGTTGGTGTCAGTGGGGAGAATAGTGCCCCATCGTTGGTGTCAGTGGGGAGAATAGTGCCCCATCGTTGGTGTCAGTGGGGAGAATAGTGCCCCATCGTTGGTGTCAGTGGGGAGAATAGTGCCCCATCGTTGGTGTCAGTGGGGAGAATAGTGCCCCATCGTTGGTGTCAGTGGGGAGAATAGTGCCCCATCGTTGGTGTCAGTGGGGGGAATAGTGCCCCATCGTTGGTATCAGTGGGAGGAATAGTGCCCCATCGTTGGGGTCAGTGGGGGAGGAATGGTGCCCCATCGTTGGGGTCAGTGGGGGAGGAATAGTGCCCCATCGTTGGGGTCAGTGGGGGAGGAATGGTGCCCATCATTGGTATCAGTGGGGGAGGAATAGTGCCCCATCGTTGGTATCAGTGGGGGAGGAATAGTGCCCCATCGTTGGTATCAGTGGGAGGAATAGTGCCCCATCGTTGGTATCAGTGGGGAGGAGGAATAGTGCCCCATCGTTGGTATCAGTGGGAGGAATAGTGCCCCATCGTTGGTATCAGTGGGGAGGAGGAATAGTGCCCCATCGTTGGTATCAGTGGGAGAGAACAGTGCCTCATCGTTGGTGTCAGTGGGGGAGGAACAGTGCCTCATCGTTGGTGTCAGTGGGGGAGGAACAGTGCCTCATCGTTGGTGTCAGTGGGGGAGGAACAGTGCCTCATCGTTGGTGTCAGTGGGAGAGGAACAGTGCCTCATCGTTGGTGTCAGTGGGGGAGGAACAGTGCCTCATCGTTGGTGTCAGTGGGGGAGGAACAGTGCCTCATCGTTGGTGTCAGTGGGGGAGGAACAGTGCCTCATCGTTGGTGTCAGTGGGGGAGGAACAGTGCCTCATCGTTGGTGTCAGTGGGGGAGGAACAGTGCCTCATCGTTGGTGTCAGTGGGGGAGGAACAGTGCCCCATCGTTGGTGTCAGTGTGGGGGAGGAACAGTGCCCATCGTTGGTGTCAGTGTGGGGGAGGAACAGTGCCCCATCGTTGGTGTCAGTGTGGGGGGAGGAATAGTGCCCCATTTGGTGTCAGTGTGGAGGAGGAATAGTGCCCCATCGTTGGTGTCAGTGTGGAGGAGGAGTGGCTGCTCCTTCTTCCAGTGCAGCCGCTCGATTTTCGCGGGGCCGCTCGGCTCTGCCTCCTCGCCGGTGATTGGTCGCCTGTGTGCCTTTCCAGTGCTGGCGCCCAATCACCGGTGAGGAGGCGGAGTTGAGCGGCCGCGTGGCCATCGAGCGGCCGAACTGAAAGGAGGAGCAGCCGCGCTTCCTGGACCGGATCGTCGTGGGACCGGAGCCAAGTAAGGTACAGCAGCCCCTCTGTCCACCCCTGTACTTAGTGTCCGTTGGAGGAGGAGGGGCGGCGGCGCCGCGCCGCCCCTCGAAAAAGTGCCGCCCTGACACCGGCTCGCACCGGCGTATAAGACGACCCCCGACTTTTCAGAAGATTTTCAGGGGTTGAAAAGTCGTCTTATACGCCGGAAAATACGATATTTGCTTTTGAGACTTGCAGTATTTAGGGTTTACTACACAAAGAAAATGCTAATAAATGTCCATTGTACAGAGGTGCTGTGACTCTGGTTTCATCTGCTCATATTTTTCCTGTATGCCTTTGTGTGGATAAATACAATTTTTTTTTTTTGGAGCCCTGGACTGTGTGCAGGATCATCCATATATATTCTGCAGTTTGAATCACACAAACCTTTCCCAGCATCAGTGCTGAAAAATACAGACAGATACTTCTCCATCATTCCATACCATCAGGGAGGCGCCAAATTTTTTCTGCAGCAGGACAGTGACCCCAACATACAGCCAATGTCATTAAAATCTATCTTCAGCATAAAGAAGAACAAGAAGTCCTGGAAGTGATGATTTGGCTCTAATCTCAACGTTGAATCTGTCTGGGGTTACATGAAGAGACAGAAGGATTTGAGGCAGCCAACTTCTACAGAAGTGCTGTGGTTAGTTCCTCAAGATGTTTGGAATAACCTATCTGACGAGCTACTTTTAAAAACTGTCTGCAGGTGTACCTAGAAGAATTGATGCTGTTTTGAATGCAACAGGGTGATCATGCCAAATATTGATTTGATTTAAATTTCTCCTTTTCATTTACTTTTTCCTGATTTTCTTAATTAATAAATATTAACACTTCTATTTCTGAAAGATTTCTTGTTTTACATTTTTTTCCCACACCTGTCCAAAACGTTTGCACGGTACTGTACATCTGTGGAGGGTGGGTTAGTTTAGTTTGGGTCAGGGGCTAAAGGAAAGTGCACTTTGTCTTACTGTGCAGTTACCCTTTAACCACTTCCAGTCCGAACACTTTTACCCCCTTCCTGTCCGGGCCAGTTTCACCTTTCAGTGTTAACACACTTTGAATGAAAATTGCGCGGTCATGCAACACTGTACCCATATGAATTTTTTAGCATTTTTTTGAGACCGATAAAGCTTTATTTTGGTGGTATTTATTCACCACTGGGATTTTTATCTTTTTTTGCTATGTAAATGAAAAAGTCCAAAAAGTTTGAAAAAAAGTATTTATTTACAAAATATTATAAGAAAAACAATCTTCATAAATCTTGGCCAAAATTTATTCAGTTATCTTTTTAGTAAAAAAAAAAAATAACCCAAATTAGTTCATAACCAAAAATTTATCATTTTTAAACTTTTCTTTTTTACATTTATTTTTATTTAATATTTGGTTTTTTTACACATACTGTCACCCTAGCATTACAGTGTCACCATGGTGTACTTCTTGTGGGGGGTGATGAAGATTTTTTTTTTTTTTTTTACACACTGATTGCTTTTACACCCATAAAGGCTGTAAAAGCAATCATTTCTCCTTCTCTCTAGCTGCATTCTTGCAGCCATTGAGAACTACTGTGTGAGCTGTGATTGGTCACAGCTTGTCACATGGTACAAGGCTGTTGTGAATAGCCTTGTACCATGTGACCTCTGTGATTGTATACAGATTTCACACGTAGTAAGCAATGTCAGAAGTGACATCTTGCTTACTACTTTGCATGTGATCACTGATTGGCCAATCAGTGATCACATGATCAGGACCTCGTAGAGAGGTCCCGTCCGATCGGTGTTCCACTGTGCCCGGAGGACACAGCGGGCACTGGATCGTGGTGCTGCATGCTACCAAGGAGCGCGCACAAACAGGGTGCGGGGAGGCCGTTTATAAACGGCCACCCGACCCTGCACTGCCACCGTCCGGCCATTTATAGCCATGGGCCGGACTGGAGGTGGTTAAAGTAAGGCAGTCTTGAGTGAAACATAAGGGTTGCATTGCTATCACTATTGTGTTGGCCACTATTCTCCTTGCTGGAACCCTGGCATAGGAAAGGAAACAAAGCCATGCATTAATCAAGATGGCTGCCTCCACACAGAAACACTGTTCTGACAAAGGCATGGCAAGTCCTTAATGGGGTAAAGATCAGCCGCAGGAAGACTACAGGTGGTTCTGGTGACTAGCCCTTTGCACTCTGCCTGCCTTTTTTGGCGCAGCTTCCAGAGTTTTAATTCCTTTTTAAGTAGATAATTAATGTGGTTGTAAGGCTAAAGGGTTTTTGTTTGTACTTTGATGTATTTTCTGCAGTGAGGTAAAGAATCTTTTAGATGAACCTTCACACCCCATATCCACCCCCCCTTTACTCACCTGGGCCCTGTTTTGATCCACCACTGTTCTCTCTGGCTAATCACTGGACTTGGTGAAAACAGCAGGGAGTATTGGCTGCTGTCAATCAAATCAAGTGACAAAGGTGTTGGGGCCGTGCCTAGTCACACTGTGTGTCAGTAGACACACACAGAGTGGCTTGGGATCGAGCCTGCAGGAGTGCATCCCTAGCAAGTGACTTTCTAGGAGGGTACTCGGCAGTGGGGAGGAGCCAGGAGCACTGACGGGGGACCCCAGAAAAGGAAGATCAGGACCGTGCTGTGCAAATCCATTGCACAGAGCAGGTAAGTATAATATGTTTATTAAAAAAAAAAAATCCTTTACAATCACTTTAAACCAGTGGTTTAGTATGATAAAAAGACCCTAGCAGCAAAATTGGTTTTAGCCTTAACTTCTAATTTGTACAATGGTAAAATGATTGGCGTTACTAAACGTTTCAGTCATTTCAAGCATGTGTTTGGAAATATGCAATTTAGTTTTGGGTATGTTTTATAATGTTGGTTTCTTTCTTTTAGGTATTTAATTAGTCAAGGAGCAAATGTAGGAGCAGTAAATAGTGAAGGAGACACTCCACTAGACATTGCTGAGGAGGAGGCAATGGAGGAATTGCTTCAAAATGAAGTCAACCGTCTAGGTAACAAGCGTTTGTTAATTTGAATATATAATTGATGTAATTGCTTTAACTGACCTGTTCAAGCCGACAGTATGCAAATCTGCAGCCTTACGGGTCTGGGCCTTGACACCGAGCGGCCGTATATTTGCATACCAAAACAAACAACCATGCTGATAGCGTGCGCACTCCTGGCACATTAACCGGCACCTCTTGGAATTGTCCCGATCATTACTTGCTAACAGGACCTTTCTGATCATGTGACCACCAGTCATGGCAGTCACATGACCCTACACCTCGCCCAGCTTCTCTGTGTCACAAACCCTTTAAAGGGCTGTACCCAAGGGGTTAAGACTTTTTTTTTACTTTCTGTAATTTGATGTGTTCAATGGCAAAACGTAATGGCTACAATGTAAATTCTGTGTGGGAAAGATTTTCTGTATCCTAGAAAAAAATATATAAAAACTAGGAATAATCTAAATAGGGTTTTAGGTTCATCTCTTAAATTTATATGCAAAATTCCGTCTGGTTACTGTAGATGAAGTGTTGACACACAAATGTGGAGAAACAAAAAGCCAAATGTGACGCATTCCACCCAAAACTCCAAAAATGTGCTGGACAAAATTATTGGCACCCACAGTTTAATAGATGGTAGCACACCTCTTGGGATAAATAACTGAAATCAATCTCTTCCTGCAACCATCAATGAGTTTTACATCTCTGTACTGGAATTTTGGACCACTCTTCTTTTGCCAACTGCTCCAACTCTTATGTTGGAATGGTTCCTTTTTCCTAAATGCTGTTTTGTGATTTCTCCACAGGTACTGTCTCTCCTCTGTATCTCTATCTCTCTCTGTCTCTGTGCGTTTTGACTTGTGCTTTTGATCATTGTCCTGCTGTAAGACCCATGACCTCTGACTGAGACCCAACTTTCTGACGCTGGGCCCTACATTGCACCCCAGAATTCTTTCGTAGTCTTTAGATTTCATAATGCCATGCACACGGTCAAGACACCCAGTGCTTGAAGCAGCAAAGCAACCCCAAAACGTCAGTGAACCTCCACCTTGTTTGACTGTAGGGACTATATTCTTTTCGTTTAAAGGCCTAATTTCTTTTTCTGAAATCGGTAGAATGATATGCTTTTACCAAAAAGCTGTAATCTTGTTTAGTCTGTCCACAGCACATTCTCCCAAAAGGTTTTTGGTTTCCTAAGGTAGATTTTGCAAACTCCAATCTGGCTTTTTTATGATTCTGTGTCAGCAGTGTGGTCTTTCTGGGCCTCTTACTATAGCGCCCCTTTTCATTCACATGGCGACGTATAGTGCGAGCTGACAGTTGTACCCTTTGCCTGAAGGTCAGCTTGAATTTGTATGGAAGTTGATTAAGGTTCTTTATCCACCATTCGAACAATCCTTCGTTGCAATCTTTTGATCAGGTTTTCTCTTTCGTCCACGTTCTGGGAGATAAGTTACAGTACCATGGGATGTAAAAATCTTGATAATGTGCACAGTGGACACAAGAACATTAAGATCTCAGGAGATGGACTTGTAACCTTGAGATTGTCCATGCTTTTCTACAAATTTTCTTCTCAAATCGTTATTTCTTTGCTGCTCCTTCTCTTCTCCATGCAGCACACAGTCACACAACAGAAAGGATGAGTCAATTTTCACCATATTAACTGGTTGCTGGTGTAATGTCTATATTGTCAGCACTTGTTGTTTGATACAGGTGAGTTTTTTTATAAACTAGAAAACCTACAATTTCTGGGGAAATTGTGTGAAGTGTTCTTGCCTCAACCAGTAGTCTACAACTGGAGTGGGCGGAGTAACTGGGTGGAGTGGCTTGAGTAACTGTTGTGTGGTTGGAGTAACTGTGAAAAGGTTGGACTGGGCAGAGTAACTTTATGGAGTGGGCAAAGTAACTGTGTGGAGTGTTTGGAGTGAGTAAAGATAGTAAACATTACACTAACCAATTGATTGATCAAATTTAAAAAGTGCACATGGCAAGCTTGATGGTGAGAAATGCATTTCAACTTTTAATTATTTATATAGCACATTTAATTGCAATGTTGTTGCCCAAAGTGCTTCACAGTTACATTAAAACATACATTTATAAAAAACAGCAGCATTATCACCTCAAATACTCTCTACTGTAGAAAACTTCTTTCCAAACCTTTAACCAGAAGCTGGCCAAACTGTCACAAATTCAAAATTAGATTTCAAATAGGGCAGAGAAGAGCAGTTAAAAACAAACTGCTCCAAATTGCTCACTTCACTCGCGTCTTCAAATGGTCGTAGTTTTAAAAACTATAAATCCTACAGCAAAGAGCTTTATATTGTGAGAATCACAAGACCCAGACCTACATTTTGATGCATAGTATGTCTCTGAAATATTAAAAATGAAGGCACAGTCGCAGTTTAGAAATTGCCCTTCAAATTTGAGGTGGCTAGAGTGGAGTTTCAATGAATGTCAATGGGCGGCGTGAGTTGCAAACAAATGGTCATATTGTAAAAACTATCAGGACTATGGCTTAGCCGTGGACATTTTTAGTGGCAGCAGGGATAGCTGAACGTCTTGATATAAGATTTGTGTAGGTGGGCTTGAAAATGAGGGAGTGATGGCAGTTTAGAAATCATGTCCTGATTTTTCAGCGTACATTCTAGCTTTTGTCAGCTCCCACTCTAGTTTTGAACATTCCGCCATTCATTCCTATGGGACCAATTTCACCACAAAAACGCCGATATTTTGTGAACCATTCGGCGAAACGTTCCACAAAGTAATAGCACACCAATCGGGAACAATCCGCACGTTTTCGGTATATTACTGTCTATGTAGTGCAAAAACTGTGGGAGGAGTTAGGGTGGTAAAATTGGCTATAAGAATATATATGTGAGATAACAGTAAGTGGTCTCGCCATGCAAGAACACTGAATCACAATCTTGGAATGCAGGTTCTTACAACTTTCAGACGGTGCCAGTAATTTTGTCTTGTATATTTTTGGTGTTTTGGGTGGAATGTGCCAGTTGGCTTTTTTTTTTTTTTTTTTTTTTTTTTTGTCATGCCAGTACAAACAAAAACTTGAGAATGCCTAAAGTTTTGTAATTGCAACAATTTTCTGGGCAAACTGGTGCATTATCTGACAGATGCAGGGGTGCCAATATTTTTGGCCATGAATGTAAGTCATCAAGGAGGCACCAGAAGTGAATTTCATCCTGTCTTGGGCAGAATTCCATATTTCCCCACTGTCTGCCATGCACATTCCAGGTGTGGGAAATTGGCAGGTGGATTTTCTCAGCTGTCAACTGTATCTGGGGGAGTGGGGTCTTCACCCAGAGGTGTTCAAGGAACTCTGCAGCCAGTGGGAGAAGTCCAGATGTGGATCTTCTGGCATCCAAGTTCATTGAGAAACTGGACTGGTTTGTCTCCATGACCAGGGATCTTCAAACGTTTTTAGTGGATGTTCTGGGGACACAGTGGATCCAGTTTTCTCTAACTTGACTTCCTGCCATTACAGCTTTTACCTTACCTGATTTAAGTGGGATTCCAGTGATTCTGATTGCCCAAGCCTGGCCCAGGAGAAATTTGTACTCTTGACATTGTGAACATATTAGGTCCTTCTACTGGATCTACCGACTTTTTGGCCACAAGGTCAAATCTTAACCCACAAATTGAGCTTTCTTTCAGTGGTATTTGATTGCCTGTGCGTTTTTTTTTTTTTTTCCCCTTTCTTTTTTGCGCTATAAAAAGACTGACAATTTTGAGAAAAAAAACAATATTTTTGACTTTTTGCTATTAAACATGTCCAGTATAAAAACATTAAAAATCAAGATTGGTTTACGTGAAAGTTATAGCGTTTACAAATGGCGGTGTGTGTATATATATACTGGGATTTTTTTTTTTTTATTAACTAGTAATGACACTGATCGGGGACTTATAGCGGGACTGCAGCAGGCATTCTGACACTGGGGGGAACTGACTTGGTGTCACTGACATCCCCAATGACACCAATACAGTGATCAGTGCTAAAACTGTCTGACTTTTCAAAATCCCTTTACGAGATCTGACTGCTTCTCAAAAGTTTGATCCCTCGTTATAGAAGATGTAGAGTAGAGGGCTGTAAATATTACCTTTCAGTTGTGAGTTTTCAAATTTCTCATGTTGTGTGCCCATTTATATGCATATGGTACTTGCTTTCAAGTGCCGAACTGCTGAACCTTCTGTGTAGCGTTTGATCTGCATGGTCTTCAAGGGACAGTGTCTTTTTGGACTAGCTCTTGACAACCTCATCAAGGATTCTACTGATGGCATTAGCACCCATCTCCCTCAGCAAAAATGCCTAGCTAACAGACTGTAGCATCTCCATTATATGTGAAAAGCCCCTTCTATTTCTCCACTCCTGTGACTCCTATGTTGAGGACCCCCCCCCATCCTGGCTCTTTATCCACTTGTAAGGTCTGGCACCTAATCTGCCAAATTCTCAATCTTTCCTCTGCATAAAGGTGCACACTTTCCAGAGGGGGAGGGGCAATTAACCTTTTGTGGATGCTTTGACAGTTTTGCTGTCAGATGTTTGAATGCAGGTGGTTTCCTTCCAGGGCTTAGATACTAGTGTTGTTTCGTCCAACTTTCCTGTGTCATTGCAGAACAGTTCTAGGGGCTTTATTTGTACCTGTACCATGCCCAAATCCAATTCTGGATCTCAAGGCTTTGAGTGTCTTAGAGTCCAAATATTCTGCTTGCAATCTGCAATCCTTTTACCTGGATTACGGTCTTCTGTTGACATCAATATATTTTACTTGTTTCCATCTTTCTAGCCTGTCACTGATTGTATTACAGGTATTTGTATAGCACCAATGATTATACAGCACTTTGCATACAGATACACATTTAAATAAGGCGCTGCCCTTAAAGACTACAATCTAAGGTTCCTGTCTTGCAAGCCAATTAAACCTACAAGCATGTCTTTGAAGTTTTGAAGGAAATCGGAATACCTGGAAAGAACGCTTAAGATGTTCTGGCTGGGT